CCTATATATCTCTCCATCTAGATAGAGCTCTCTATCCCTATATATATTGTTGTTGTTGTTACGTGCCATCAAGTGACCCACAACTCATAGTGACACTGTGTACAGCGCCTCTGAACCCTGCCCTTTCCTGAGCCAGTCTCGCTGACTCTGACACACCTAATCCCATTGCCTCAGTTATTGTGTCAATCCATTTTTTTCCAGAGTCATCTTCTTCTGTGATGTCCTATCACTTTCCAAGAATGATGTCCTTTTCCGAGGACTATCCCTCCTGGCCCAAAGAACGTGAAATAGAGCTTCAAAATCATTGCCTCTAAGGAAGAACTTGGTTTCACCCTTTCCAAGACAGACCTATTTGTTCTGGTGGTCCATGGAAGAGTTCAATACTCTTCTCCAGCACCAGAACTCAAAGGCATCAATTCTTCTTCTGTTATCCTTAATCATTGTCCAGCTCTCTGATGCATAGCATAAAATGGCTAAGACCATGGCATGGATCAGGCACACTTTAGTCTTTAGACTGACATCATTGCTCCTCAGCATTCTGGATTGGTCCCTGGCAGCAGACTTCCCCAATTCACTTTGTCTTTTGTTTGCCTGAATGCTCTTGCCAAGAGTTGTTGATTATGGAGCCAAGCAAGCTGAAATTGTTAACAATTATATATTTATATTTTCCTAATTGTAGGTAAAATGCGAGAAGGGGGAAAAAACCATTAAAAAAATGGAATAAACAAGTATTTCCCTGAGCCACCTTACTGCAATAAACCCTCCAAACTCCAGTTGAAAGAGCAAACTAAAGTTTACAGCAGTTTTAGAAGAATGCTAACGGGAACAGGAATAAATTTCCCCTTCCCTCACTAGACAACAAAGTAGCTTTGCTGGAGTAGAAATATCTTATATGTGCATCAACTCCTAGATTGCCAGCTCTGCTTTTGGGAGCAGATAATTACAAGATAGACAAAAGTTTAGTGCGGATTGTGAGGATGACATGTGATAGGACAAGGTTCCAGGGTCTCTGTGATTAATAGTGAGTTTAATACAACAACAGATCTAACAACAATGCCTGTGAGCAGGAGCATAGGTCAAACCCGGCTGATAACAACAGGCAAGATCGTTTAGAATCTAATTTTTATTTACAAAATAATATTGGTGAAGATTTTTAGGAGACTCCAATCCAACTGTGCAGATAGCATCTATCTGCCTGACTCCTAGAGGTTCTGTCTATGGGACAAATAGATTGGTACCCAGACTATCTACTGCAGGCTTGAAGGAGACAGTTTTGAGTCTGGTGGTTGTGTACTATGCATGTTCTCTATGAAAAATCACAACTTTCTACTTGGGTTTGTCCATTTGTAATATCATGAATGAGGTTTCAGAGGGCTTCCATTTTTCATTTGACTGTAGAAGTGTAATTCAATGTGAAACTTGACATCCTATGTGCTGTTCCAGATTAGAAGGCTACTTGTGAGTCCATGTGGAACTTCACGAGAAGGAGAAAGACAGGGAAACTCATTGTTGGTGTTCAATGCTCTTTAAAATCCTATTTGCCTTCCTCAACTCCTCGTTTATTCAGAGCTCTGAGCTAGTGTCCCCATTTCTTTCTGTCCAGGGCATTGATTACATTCAGTGGGGCAGAGTCAAGATTGCTCACCACATTGTCACTGGAATAAATTCTGTTGATGAGCCTTAATTCCTGATCTGCTTTATAAAACAACTTATAGAATAAATGCTAACATTATTAATTTCACATGATGATAAGGTATGAGTTTACAAAGGAAACAAAGTGGCTGAATTTACTGTATTTTTTTTAATATGTGAAATTTTCATTTTATACTGGTTTAGTTACCAAGTTCATACATTGTTTTTCACACTGGATCTTCCCCATTTCCTTTACCCACCCCTCCCTTTACTCACCAAATTGTGCAACCCTGTGACTAACCCACTCCCTATTCTCACACCTCTGCTCCTACCCTCCCCCTCCTTCAAACCTCATACATGTTTTACTCTTAAAAGAATTTATTTCACTAAAAATGTGTTGAATATTTTGTTTAAAGTGAAGTTCAAACAAAAGTTCAAGATATTTGTAAAGTTGACCTTATTAAGTAAAATAAGCTTTCTCCTACTTTAGACCTTTATGTAAACGAGCTGCAAAATTTCTCAGTCGCTGGAGATCACCAGACTTAACTCCCTTCAAAATTTTCAGTGACGGCGGCTGGGAAGTCAGATTTCTGTGCTGCTGAAGTAAGCACAAGAAATTTTATTTAATAGTTAAAAAAGAAGCAGGAAAAAAGCCTACGATTTCTTCAACTATTTTCGTTATTTCATACACTCAAGATTCAATAGAGCTGTTTGAGTCTGATAGTCTGGTCTGTGGGAAGTTATGCTGTTAACCCAAAGGCTGACCTCTCTGGAAGTTTGAATCTGCCAGTGGCTCCAAGGGACAAAAATGAGCATTTTCCTGCATTGTATTTTAAAGTCTTGAAAACCCAATAGAAGGTCAGCTGTAAGTCATTTCTGCCTTTGACAGCAATGAGTTTGCAACAAAATATTTAGTGAAAGCAAACTTCTAGAACCTAGCTAGATAGAATTACCTCTGTGCTATCATCTAAAGCTCTGATAATAGTGCGTTTCAGGGTTGGAAGTTGTTGATTCCAGACTTTACTAGAATTTGTAAGGCTAGTATGGGTTCATTTAGTGAACCTTTTTTTTTTCTATTTAAACTATATTTCTATCCATGATTGTATTTGCTTTATACCATCACCTCTGAGATGGATAGACTACTCATAATTGCTTCATATAATAGATGAGGGAAACGAAATTTCTGACAATTAAAGGATTTTCCAAGTGACCCAAACCACATCACTTACTAGGCCCAGAACTCTTAACTTCCATTGCTTTTCCTCTGAACCACATAAAGGAGTGATAATTTTATGATGGAAAGTAGGAAGATTTACTCAGGCCTTGAACTAATTTTATACCTTAAAGATTAGATTATATTTTTTAGTATGCAAAGGGGGCTTGTATTGATTGTCAATTGTTTTCATAAAACTTAATGAACAATGCCACCCACGAGACATTTTCACATATATGTGCATGATGCATATGAAGAGAGTCAGTGCTGCATTGTTTCTAATAGTAGAGACAGTCTAAGGGCTGTTGTTATGTGCCGTCAAGTCACTTCGACTCATAGCGACCCTATGTACAATAGCCCTAAACTCTGCTCTGTCCTGTGCCAATCACACCATCTCCGACACACCCATCCCGATTACCCCAACCACTGAATCAATCCACCTCATAAGGGGCCTTCCCCTTCTGTACTGTCCCTCCACCCTACCAAGCATGATGTCCCTCTCCAAGGACCTGTCCCTCCTTTCAACATGTCCAAAGTATGTTAGACGGGGCCTCAGAATCCTTGCCTCCAAGGAGCTGCCCAGTTTAACCCTTTCCAGGACAGCCCTGTTTGTTCTAGCAGTCCATGGTATCCTCAATCCTCTTCTCCAGCACCACAGCTCAAAGGCATCAATTCTCCTTCTATCCTCAGTCATTGTCCAACTCTCTGATGCATAACAAATGATAGCAAAAACCATGGCCTGTATCAGGCACACCTTAGTTTCCAAAGAGACACCATTGCTCTTCAGTACTTTGAAGAGGTCCCTAATAGCAGACTTTCCCATGGCAATATATCTTTTAATTTCCTGGCTACTGGTGCTGAGAATGTTGACTGTGGAGCCAAGCAAACTGAAGCTGTGAACAATCTCAATCTTTTCACCATCCATCCTTATGCTGCCAGTTGGCCCAGTGGTGAGAATCTTTGTCTTCTTGACATTGAGCCTCAATCCATATTGGAGGCTGCAGTCCTTGACACTCTGCAGCAAGTGCTTCAGGTCCTCCTCACTTTCAGCAAGCAGGGTTGTATCATCTGCATAATGCAGATTGTTGATAGATCTTCCACCAATCTTGATCCAACATTTCTTCTCATAGAGCCCAGCCTCCCGGATAATCTGTTCTGTATACAGGTTGAAAAGGTATAGAGATAGGATGCATCCCTGGCGTACGCCCTTACCAATTTTGAACCATGCAGCGTATAGTCATATGATATGATATTACTAAGTGATTAAAGTGAATAAACTAGCTGTACATACATAAATAGTTTTCAAAAATCAAAGTGTGATTATGATGAAAGCACAATGTGATGGAAAAAATTTGCAGATTAATAAAATAAATATAACTAAACACACCAAGGATTGTTCTTTTGTGTATGACAAATATGTTCAATAAACAGATACAATCAAAAGCTATCAACTTAAGAATATCAAATGCTTCACAAAAGGATTTTAAGTAAATAAAGTTAAACAATTTTCTGTTCATTTGCTTTATTATATTAGTATTGTCTGCAATTTCCTGTATTAAAAAAAATTCTCAAAAAGTAGTTGTGATCCTTGTGTTAAAAACAAGTGCACTTTAAGAAAAGTAACTCATGATTAGACTCCAGTGAGGATATTAAACAGAAAGATAGCAAAATGGCATTTACTCCTGAAAGTGCTATGCTTAGCATTTGACAAAGCAAATACATGCATAAGGTTGGGCCACTTAGTTGGTAATGCTCCTCACTGTGACAGGAGGTAGGCTTGAACTGCTGAACTCACCTTTCCTCTGAAAGCTCTTGACAGAGAGAGGGCTGGGGCCCAGGCTTGCTCTCCCTGTCATTGGCCTTGAAGTCTCTGAACCTATCACAGGAGAAGACTGTACTGACAGATTCATTCTCATTACCAACTTTCTGCCACATGCTTTATTATCTTGTGACTTACACTTTCTTTTTTTAAATTATACTGACTTATTTACAAAGTTTGAATACATCATATTTCACAAAAGATCTCTCCCATCGAATTGTGCAACCTTACCGTTAACACTTCCCCGCCTCCTTACCCTACTCCCATCCATCCTCACCCCTCTGCTTTCACCCTCCCCCTTCTTGGATAACTTACATGTTCTTGATACCATTTTAGGCATGAAAGGATGCACACCAGAAGACCTTATCATGTGAAGGATGCAGAAAAATACTGCCTTGAGGATGACTTGGTGAATCTTGAGGTTCTGAATGAGGTACCAAATATTTTGTACACAACCTACACCGTGACATTGACCTATGTGAATGGTCTGACCCTGTTGTTTATTACCCATCTTTTTTTCTACAGCCTCTTGAAGTTTTACTTGTTAGTAGCCTTGGGGAGGGGAACAGGAAACATTTGGTTGCTGTGACTGCGATCTTGTGTGATGCATTACTATTTCTAATCCCTAAAATGGTGTTGGTTACCCGTGATAGACAGTGTTGGGTGGAGCTCTTCGGTTAAAACAAGCTTGGAAGCAGGAGTGGCATCCACTTCTGTAAATAGCTTGCCTCCAGAAACCCTACAAAGCTGGAGAGAGGATGAAGGTCATGCAAGTGTCGAGGACTTTTGTTCATAGGGTTGCTGTGAGTTGCCTACAACTTGATGACACTTAACAACAACAACAACAACAGCAACAACAACAACAAAATGGTATTGAATAATAGCAGAGACTGTGAGGGCAGCCCAAGATTGCAGAGCGTTTATCTATTGTCATAAGGTCAGTATGAGTCAGAGTCAACTCTATGGCACCTAACAGAAACAACCACCAAAATGATGAGGTAAAAAAAAAGAATTTGATTTCTCCATAAAAGAAATTTTCACATTGTATTGTTGAATATGATGGAATATATCAGCTTGAAACTGAGAAGGACCTGAAGCACTTGTTGCAGAAGGTCAAGAATTGCAGCCTTCAATATGGAAGCTCAACATCAAAAAAACAAAGATTCTCACCACGGGGCAATTGGCAGCATTATGATAGATGGTGAAGAGATAGAGATTGTTAACAGCTTTAGTTTGCTTGTCTCCACAATCAACACCCTTGGTACCAGCAGCCAGAAAATAAAAATATGATTTATGATTTGCATTGGGAAAGTCTGCTGTTAGAGTCCTCTCCATAGTACTGAAAAGCAATGATGTCAGTATGGAGAGTAAGGTATGCCTGATCCAGGCCATAGTCTTTGCAGTTACTTGCTATGCATGAGAAAGCTGGACAATGACTAGGGATGATAGAAGGAGAATTGATGCCTCTGAGCTGTGATGCTGGAGAAGAGTATTAAATTGATAAGAACAGATACTACACTTGATCTTGGCCAAAAGACCAAGAAGAAATAGAGAAGAGTATTGAACATACCACAGACCGCTAGGAGAACAAACAGGTTTAACCCAGAGAGGATGAAATCAAGCTATTCCTTGGAGGCAAGAATTCCAAGGCTTTGTTTGACGTTTGACATACTTTGGGCAAGGAAGGACCAGTCCTTGGAGAGGAACATCATGCTTGGGAGAGTGGAGGGACAGTGCAAGAGAGGAAGACCCTCAGTGAGATGGATTTATTTAGTGACTAGGGTAATGAGGGTAGGTGTGTCAGAGGCAATAAAGTTGGCACATGATAAGGCAGGTTTCAGGGCTATTGTACATAGGGTTGCTATGAGTCACAAGTGACTCAACAGCACATTACGACAATAAAAACTTGCAGCTTAACCTTAGAAATTAAGATAGTTGTTTGTTCATCATAAAGAGGAACTTCTTTCTGTGGAGTTAATACAGCTTGAATTCTGAATTTGAAAACTATTATAATCCTCATTAAAGATATGCACGTTTAATAGTGCTGTTAATTGCGATGGTCCTGCTTCTATTCATTCTAACTCTGGGGACCCTTAAACACCAATGCCAGAATCACAAATGTGTGAAATAAAAGTGTTCACTTCTATAATCTTACCACGTAAATTTTAAGTGCAATCCTTTGAGAAAGAAGATACTATTTTTGTATGTTTTTTATCAACCAGAATGGCAAATTAAATAAAATTTTAAATAGAACATCTTGCTTAAGCTGAGATGTTTCTGAAAAAGAAATAAACCCTGTGTTGGATGTTGTTGTTGATGTGTGCCCTTGAGTTGACTATGACTCATAGTGACCCAGTGATAATAGATCTGAACTCTGTCCTATCTTGTACCATCCTCACCATCTCTAACATATGTTAGCCCATTGCTGCAGTCACTGTATCGATTCATCTTGTTGAAGTTTTCCTCTCACTGATTCTTCACCTTTCCAAGCATGATGTCCCTTTCTAAGGGATAGCATCTCCCAACAACATACCCCAAGTGTGTGAGATGAAGCTTCACCATCCTTGCCTTTAAGGAGCACTCTGATTGCACTTTCTTTTGGATATCTCAGTGTATTTTGAAAAGTTTGTGTGTGTCAGAGCAGACCTATGCTTCAGAGCATTTTTGGTGGCTAATATTTTAGTATAAGATCACAAGACTTTCCCCCAAGACTCCTCTGGCTGGCCTTGAACTACCAAACAAAATAAATATAAAAATCTATTTCTAAAATTTCTTCTTGCCAAGCAAATGTCTACATTTAGATTCTTTAGGGTCAGTATATGATTTTTTTTAAAAGAACCCTTATTTTAGAGGGGAAAAATATTCTTTTAATAATGAATTTTGTGTTATTTTTAAGAATTTTGTTCTTGGCTTTAACAAATACTTAATGTCTATAGTATTTGTTCTCTTAACAGGATACAATTATTCATCAACTACAAAAGCGCTATGTCGACTTGCTGATTTACACCTATGTTGGTGACATATTAATAGCCTTAAACCCTTTTCAGAATCTAAGCATATACTCTCCACAGGTAAGTAATTTGTTAAGAGGATGTTACTCCTTAATTAAAAGTCATAAGTGAAAATGAGAAGGAAAAACAAGAACAAAACTGTACTATTCTTAGGTATGTTTACCCTACCAAGCAGATAATAAACCAACAAAAACTGAATTCTTATATTTTGGGGACAAATTTTTAAAACAAGCTAAGAGAACAAACAAGTTCATCTTGGAGAGGATGAAGCCAGGTTGCTCCTTGGAGGCAAGGATTCTGAAGCTTCGTTTGACATACTTTGGACATGTTGCAAGGCGGAACCAGTCCTTAGAGATGGATGTTATGCTTGGGAGAGTTGAGTGATAGTGAAGGAGAGGAAAACCCTCAATGAGATGGATTGATTCAGTCACTGGGGTAATGAGGGTAGGTGTGTCAGAAACAATATGATTGGCAAGGGATAGAGCAGGGTTTAGGGCTGTTGTACATAGGATTGCTATGAGTCACAGGCAACTTGAGGGCTCATAACAACAGAAACAACAACAGTTATATAATATTTATTGTAACGTAAAAGTATGGTTACAAATATGCATATAATGTGCATTAAAATATACTATTATTATTATTTAGTTACTTTGCTTAGTTCTTGTAACCCTGCTAGGCAGATGCTGTTATTAATCCCACTTTGCAGACAAGTGATTGTGCACAGAGTGACTCACTTGTACAAGTCTCTAAGTGCAGAACCATGATTTAAACTCAGACCTGTATACGATAAAGCCTGTAGACTTCCTGGTGTAACAATTTCTTTACTAAGTGACAAAGTCTTGTTTTAATGGGGCAACAATAGTGGAACATTAGGAGGGACAGGTTTTATAAGTCTGACCATTTTCCTTTACGGTGATTTTTCCTTTAGTTTTCCAGGCTTTATCATGGGGTGAAACGAGCCTCAAATCCCCCCCACATATTTGCATCGGCAGATGCTGCTTACCAGTGCATGGTGACGTTCAGCAAAGACCAGGTAAGAGCTCACCTGCTGTGTCTTACACCTCTCCTGCCAAGTCACACTATGAGATATTCTTCCTCTTCCTCTTTAGTTTGGTATTGTTGTTATGCACCCGCAAGTTAGAAGCAACTAATAGCTGACCCTCCAGGGGGTTTTCAGAGGATATAAGTCAGTTGGGAGTAGACTACCCAACTTTCTCCCACGGAACAGCTGGTGGATTTGAACTGCCTGCCTTTGAGTTGTAAGTACAACTCCTCATCCACGGTTTATTCTTGAAAAACTTTCATTTTGGGTGCTGATTCTCATCAAGGAAAAGAAATGAAATAGCTGTTCAGCCAGAATGAGACACTGGTAACCACTTTTCACTACGTGAAACATTCACACCAAGAGCATTTATTTCCCCCCGTAAAATATAATGCAGATATTTCTAATGTGACTCTAATGAGAACATAGTACAAACACAAATCCAATATTTAGCAATGATTGTGAATCCAAACAGGATGTAGAATGATACAAATTAAATTCCTTCCTATTAAGGTCTCAAGTTTTCATGGTCAGTGCTTTTTGTGTGATTTGCCAATGCACCATGTCATTGAGCTGCTGAGAAATAGTTAAGGATTGACTGAAGACTGAACTAACTTTAAACTAACTGAAAGGCTAGCAGTTATGACCCACCAGCTGCTTTGAAAAGATGTGCCAGTCTACTTCTGTAAAGATCATAGTCCTGAAAACTTTATGAGACAGTTCTGTTCTGGAGCGTAGCTATGAGTCTGAATTGACTCAAAAACAACAGACTTTTTGTTTATTTGATAGTTTTTTGTGTATATAGACACTTTTTTATGTAACTCATTGAATTTGATAAATAAATGTTAGGAGAAAATAACTAAATGTTTGTTCCCTGAGTCCATGGAACTCAGCTTTAGGATTTATAGAAGGATAGATAAAATTATAGCAGTGGAAGTGTAAAATGGAATACATTTTGAAGCTCTATCTCACATACTTTGAGCAAGCGAGGAAGACCCTGGATGAGATGGATTGACACAGTAATTGGGGTAATAGGGATAGATTGGTTGGAGTCAGTGGGACTAGCTCAGAATAGGCCAAGCTTCAGAGCTATTGTACATAGAATTGCTATGAGTTGCAGGTAACTCAGTATCACAAAACAACAGATTTACTCTAGGGAGCTTTGGTGGCCTACCATGTAAGGAGTTGAGTTGTCAACCAAAAGGTACACTGTTCAAATCCACCTCTGTCTTTGGGAGATAGATGAGCAGTCTCCTCTTATATGATTTACAGCCACTGAAAACTTCCCGGAGAGTCAGCTATCCATTGGCTCCAGTTTGACAGAGCACAATGACAACAGACTCATCATGAGATAGAAACTTGGCAATAATAAATTCTTATCTTTCCCAGAATTTTGTGAAATATCCATAGATTTCATAGAGGTGAAATGAATAGAGATAGATGTGTTTCTCAGGTTAGAAAACTATTTCACCAGTCTCCTTTATACACAAAGAACTCCTAGCAATCAAAAATAAAGAGACTAATACTTTCATTTTTAAAAAGGACAAAGGATATATATGTCTCTCTCTTTCACACACACACACACACACACACACACACACACACACACACACACAGATTGCCCTAGCATAGCAAATAATACCTAATCTCATTTAGAATAAAAGAAATGCAAATTTTCACACCAATTTTAATCTGTCAGATTGGCAAAAGTCCAGCATACATTGTTGGTGAAGCTGTGAGAGAGTTGTTGTTGTTGTTGATTGTCATTGAATTGAGCACGACTGTTAGCAATCCCATAAACAAAAGGCCTGAAACCTTTACACAACCATTGCCATTTATCAAAGTTCACAGAGTTTCCAGAGGCATGTTGTTTAGGAAGTTGATGCCACTCCTACTTCCAAGTGAGAGAATAGACACATCCATCTCTTCATTTTAATACTAGAAAAGTGGTTAATTTGATGGTGGCTATATCAAAGTGCTGGTAGACTAGTGGCAAGGAGCTGTACTGCCAACCTGAATGCACGCAGCTCAAATCCACAAGCTACTTAATGGGAGAAAGATGGGCAATCAACTCTCATGTGATTTACTGGCTCTGAAAAGGCATTACAGGGTCAGGTATCTGTTGGTTCCCACTCGATGGTACGTAACAACAACATATCACATTTAGGGAGCTCTGACAGCCTGGTGGGTAGAAAGTTATGCTGTCAACCCAGAAGCAGGCAGTTTGAGCCCACCACCTGCAACATTGGAGGAAGATGGGCAGTCTTCTCTCCCTTGTGATGTATTTACAGGCACTGAAAATCCATGGGAGGGTGAGCTACGAGGCAGTACTGATTTTACAAATATATTTACACTCTGCTTGAGCAACCTCACTTCTAGGAATTTACAGACAAGTCCGCATGTAAATATTAAATTTATACATTAAATATTGCATTAAATATTGAGTTGTTCATTACAGAATTGATCATAATAGCAAAAGAAAAACACTAAAGCTGCCATCAACAGGGGATTATTTCAGTAGTCATTTTATAGATTATGGTACCTAGAAAGCTGTAGATGAGATTGAAGATGGAAAAAATAATACAGCTGTATAAAAGATCAAAGAGATGGGGAAACTTCTAAGTTATATTGCGCAGTGAAAAAGTAATGCTTATAGGCGTGGATGGATATTATATTAAACCATAGCTGAATACCCAGGTGGTTTCCTTTTCTATTAATCCTTCACTCGGCATTCCATTTTCATATCAGTGCATCGTCATCAGTGGCGAAAGTGGTTCTGGGAAGACCGAGAGCGCCCACCTGATTGTTCAGCATTTGACTTTTTTGGGAAAGGTAATGACAACCTGCTTTTTGTCTTGTGCCTAGAAGTTACTGCAGAATAACTGGGTAGTTTATAAATGTCAATGAGACTGTTTTTATTACAGGTTACCTAAAAACATTCCATCATTGTTACGTTCCCTCCTGATAGCTAGGCCTTTCAAGATGTCAGCATGAGAGTCTCCCCTCACGGAGTGAGAAAACGAATGTCAGCACGAATTTATTAGCTGAGCAACAATTAATTTTTTATGTTTTCAGTGTAATGAAAATTGTTTGCTGTTAAGTAGCAAAAGTTGTAGAACACTAAGGACATCAAAAGAGAAAGCCACGAAGATAGTTAAAGTGATGGAAAGCAGAACTCTTTGAAAGACAAGTTTTTCAGCTTAGTTAAATGGGCATTAGACAAATGACTTGAAAAATAGCTTACTCTATCCTATTTTATAAAATATATACATATTCAGAATTAATATACTACGTGACTCAAAGAATTTTAGGGTTATTTTTTAACAGGTGGGGCTTATTGCTCATTATAATGGACAGTAAACAAAGTTAAGGGATCACTCTGTTTAAAATTGTTTAAAAATTCTTTAGACCTTTTATCTATCAAGGATTTTAAGTGATGTATGACTGGATGTAAAAACTGGTACTCAAGTAGAATACCAATCTAGACAGATTAACACAGCCTGGAGGAATTGCTCATATGAAACAAGCAAGCTGACAGCTGATGCTAATTTCAAATAGAATGCTTCCCAAAAGGATAATGTGAAATTAGCTGGGCAGAGAGAGGGACCAGAAAACTTGGATGACGTACTGTTTCTGGAGGACCCTCATGACTGTTTGCTCTGACACAGGCTGATAATCAAACCCTGAGAGAGAAAATTCTACAAGTGAATTCCCTAGTGGAAGCCTTTGGGAACGCATGCACTGTCATCAATGACAACTCAAGCCGTTTTGGAAAATACTTGGAAATGATGTTTACACCAACCGGAGCTGTGATGGGAGCAAAAATTTCTGAATATCTCCTTGAAAAATCCAGAGTCATAAAGCAGGCAGTGTAAGTTCACTGGTTTTTCCATTCTGGTTTTCTCTGTAATACTGACTTTGACTTTGGGAATTTTAGTGGTTCCATTTTTACTCTCAGTCTCAGCAACTTCTTCCCCTTCCCTGGTCTTACAAAGGGCAAGGAAATAGTTGGGCAAATGATTTAGGCACTGGTAGTTTCTAACATAAAAGATATTTAAGTTTGCACTGCTTGAATGAGGGAGAGGAGACAGGAGACTTATTCAAGGTGTTAGTTCCATTCCCTAAAGTTTCTTTTCTGCCTCCTTTCCAGGCGTGTAAAGTTTGGAATGCTATTTGTTGTTGGGTGCCATTGAGTCACACCTGACTTATAACTGACTCTCCAGTGGGTTTTCAGAGACGGCAAATCACCTGGGAGGAGATTGCCCAATCACCTCCCACATAAAACTGGTGGATTCAAATCTTGTGCCTTTGGGATTACAGTGCAGCTTCTTATCATTAGGTCACCAGAGCTCCTGTGGAATGATAATTGAAAAAACATAGACCTCAGTTCTGGGACAAATTCTATCCTTTCACCAACCTTCTAATTAGTGAGTTCCCATGTCTTCTCTGGGGCTCCAAAAATTAGGGGATTTGGCCAATTTCTCTAAGTCAGACTTCAGATCTTTAAAACTCCACAGGTTACAAACAGAAGCCACATAGTACAGATTTATATAGGCTGTAGGGCTGGGAAGTGGGGGGTGGTGGTGGTGGGAATCTCTAAACTTGTGTAACTTGAGCTGTTAATGATGTCATTTTGCTTGAAATAAGGATGGTCAAGAATGTAACATTATAACAATCACTATACTAATATCATTCTTCCTGTTTTGTAATTGGTGTATCACTCATTTGATTTCCTGAAAATTCATATTTACTACAGAACAATATTTTCTAGAGAAAGGAAATAGTGTAAATTACTCAAAACAGAGAAAACCAGAATATTAATAATATCCTTCCATAATATTTTTCAGGGGAGAGAAAAATTTTCACATATTTTACTATATTTATGCTGGTCTTTATCATCAAAAGAAACTTCCTGATTTCAAGCTTCCTGAGGACAAGCCCCCTAGGTAAGTATTAGAGGTTTTTAATTATTCATTTTAAGTGATTATACACTTAGTTGTTGCTAAGCTAGGAAATAAACAGAGCTGCTTTCCTAACTGCAGAAGCCCACTATATATCTGAAATAACCAAGAAAAGAAGCAAGAACTATATGACTGCACATCACCAAATACATTTGCTATGAAAGTTTAAAAAAGAAAAAGCTGTAGTCATTTTGCTCAGCCACATGAACACGGTTATGCACTTGGTTGCTAACCAAAAGGTTGGTGATTTGAATACACCCAGGGAATCCTTTCAAAGAATGGCCCTGAGAATATCAGCCATTGGAAGTGTTATGGAGCAAAGCTCTACGGTTCTACTCTGACACATATAGATGAGTTCGCTGTGAGTTTGAATTGTCTCGACAACAACTGGCTTGGCTGTTTGGATTTTAGTCTGTGAAGGAATTTGTCCCGCAGAGAGGAGACTAAGCAGCTCCTGCCCTAACATTTTTTTTACCATTTTTCAAGTCAATGTTTACTGTTGGACCATTCCCTACATTTAGGTATATAGCGGATGAAACTGGAAGGGTGATACATGACATAACTTCCAAGGATTCTTACCAAAGACAATTTGAAGCAATTCAGCATTGCTTCAGGATTATAGGATTCACTGACAAGGTAAGTGATGCCAAGAGAAAACCTAGAGTATTAATATGTTGGATGAATGTAATTGATGACAGATCAGTACACTTGCTTTTTAAATACCATCATGGTGATACCGTAAGTCCTGGCTACCCACACTATAGTGACAGGACCAAAGACATCCTCATCAACTGAGTGTGTTAGAAATTCAGATGCTCAGGCCCATCAAAGAATGTCTGAATCAGAATCTGCATTTTAATAAGATGCCCAAATATCCATTAAACAGGAGAAGCACTGTTATAAGAACAACATCTCTATGATTGTTACCATTTTTAGTAATTCCCTATTGTGGTAATAATAAACACAAAACCAATTCTTTCCCTTACATTAAACACAAATATTATCCTCTCCCATGTTAGGGTCAATCCAACCATTAAAATTAATTGTGTAATAGGAGTACATGAATATATGTAGGTTACACCCAAGCCATAGAAATATATTTATGCAAATAGTTGATTGTGCTCCAAGATAAATGAATATAAACTCTTCCAACTTTCTTGTAGTCACTTCCTTCTCTGTGGGTACAAAGTTGCACATTATATTAACTGTACCTCTAAATACTGTCCTGCTTTTGTCATACTAGAAACACATTGTCTCTATTAAATATATGCTCAGAGTGACAGAAAGTATTTAGAGCCCTAGGCTCAAACGTCATTCTGTGATACATTTATGTCATAGTTTCTGGGCTTCATGCCATCAATTTCACAAAATAAATAGATTCTTTTGCTTTTTAAATGAAGGGCGTGAGTGATTAGGAGGTAGGTGAGAGTGCTAAATTTTAAGGGATTAGATTACAAGACATTCAGCTATCCTGGGACACCTATTCTGGATAAAGAATTGCTTCTGTAATCTAATGAGCTTGGCTAGCCCTTACCTCCCTAGCATGGTTGATTTAAGCCATAATAATACCTTTTCCTTTTTTCTAGCCAGCTGCTAATTTTCTCTGTCAGCCTCCCACAGACTTTAAACTGACAGACAGTGGAAAATCCCAAAGGTCAGATAAAAATAGAATTATATTTTCTTTGCCTCTTACAGGAGAGCAATTAAACAGACTGTGGCATTGTTAAAAGACCTTTATAGTTACTAATTTACAGAGCTGGATTTTTTATCAAAGACACATCACCAAAAGAGTCAAAACATGATAAAGATGGCAGTACAGATATTTTAAGTCACCTGAATTATGTCTAAACATTTGAGAGCATATTTACTTAAAAGGTGACAGAAATAATAGAGAACTCAGTCCATATCAAGTAAGTGCAAAGAATACTGAGAAGAGGCTGGTCCAAGCTCTAAAAGAAAGTATATAGTAGCTTTGTTCCAATAACAGAAATGTACTGCAAATAATGAAACAGATGCTTTCTGTTTTAAGAGGTTGTTAGAAGGTGCCATTGAGTCTACTACGACTCATAGTGACCCTATGAACAACAGATCTTCTATCCTGTGCTGTCTTTATCATCTCTGGTATGCTTGAGCCCACTGTTATAATCACTGTGTTAATCCATCTCCTTGAGGATCTTCTGATCCTTCAACTTTCCTAGCATGTCTTTTTCCAGGAACTAATCCCTCCTAACAACATGCCCAAAGTATGTGAAGTGAATTTTCACCATTCTTGCCTCTAAGGAACACCCTGTATCCTGTTCTTTTGGCAGTCCATGGGATATTCAATACTCTTCTTCAACACCACAATTCAAAGGCACCAATTCTTCTGACATCCTTATTCATTTTCCAACTCACACATGCATAGGAAGCAAATGAAAATACCATAACTTGGATCAGGCAAACCTTAATCTTTAAACTGACATTGTTACCCCTTAGCACTTTGAAAAGGTCCTTATGTTTTAAGCTAGTAAATTTAAAAACAGAAGGCATTAAGTCTATATTCCATCTTTAACTTCTGTACATTGTACAGAAAAATGTGCATTAAATGTACATTAAAATATACATTAAATATACATTAGTATCCCACTCCTGACACCAAAAAAAAAAATGTACATTAGGGATGAATGAATGACTACAGGAATGTATATATAAGAAAGAAATATAAAAGATGATAAACATTCTTTTTTCAAATGATATTTTAATGAAAGTTTATAGAAAACTTAGATTTCCATTCATTCCTGTTGCACATTTTCTTCCCCACCCCCAAAAGATGATATTCTTTTTTAAAACTTAGTATTTTTTTAATTAAATTTAATGAAAGTTTATAGAGACTTTGGATTTCCATTCACTCATTGTTGTATTTTTCTCCCTGCCCAACTTTCCCCCCAGTTCGTTCTTCTCTTTGAAAAATAAAAGAAAAATTCTTTCATTGTTCTTCAATCCCTCCCCCCGCCCAAGTCCACTCCACTATGTAGCTTTCGTTCTGGACTCTTGCCATGACAATAATACCTAATCACATATCCCTTTTAAACAGTTCTCTCCCTCATTTGTTTCAATGCAGTATACATAATATATCCCATCTTTCTCAGTCTCCCCCCAACCCTGATGTTAGTCCCGTTTTACAACAGTGGTACTATGCAGTATTTGTCCTTTTGTGACTGAGATATTTCACTAAGCATAATGTCCTCCAGAGTCACCCATTTTGAATAATATTGCATCAGTTCCTTGTTTTTCAATGCAGCGTAGTATTCCATTGTGTGAATATACAACAGCTTCGCTATCCTTTCATTTGCTGATGGGTGATGATAAATATTCTTAATCTGTGCCTGGTGGGGATGATTACATGGACAGCCAGAATGCAATGGTACATATGTGTTTACACATCTTCACCTCATCCTGTATTAATTCACATATAAGAAATAAATCCATTTATGTCAATTAGCTACCTTGGAAATGAAAGGCAGATGCTAGATTTTAGTTCTCTGACCCTACAGTCAATGGTTAAATTCCTGTAGATAGCCTGTTTTACTGAATTAACACAGCAGCTCACTCGATATTTGTAAATTTTGTCTGAATTTAGAAAGATATCATTGATTGAGGTCAGGGAATAAGTGCTAAATGGCTAATGTGACCACCCATTTTCTTGGGTTTTTCTGTCAAATATTTCTCAATAGAGTTTAAATTAACGGGCCAAATCAATCAAGATGATGATTTCTGTCCTTTCTTATGTTGCTACTAGTCCCCTTCAGGCAGAGATCTCTTACGTTTTTCCAAAATTCTTACAATATTATGAGGGACAATTTTTACCCATGAACATTAATTTTAATTCTGGAATACCAGACAAAAATTATCCAAAAGAACACTTGACCCTGAGTTTATTAAACCTTCCTGATAGAAGGAGTCTTCTACTAATAATGCTGGCTCCTTTTGGAAGATTAAGGGAATTATATGTAGAACCCTATTGTAATGATCAGTGCTTTTTAACTCCTAAATTTAGGGCCAGCCATACTACTCTTGTTTAATATTGTCATATGAATTAGTATTACATATTACATAAATTTAGTTTTCACTATTGTTGTCAAGCCTGAATCAACAAATAGCTTCTCTTCTACTGGGTTTTCAGAAGTAGTAAATTGCACAGGAGAAGATTGCCCATCTTTCTTCCAAGGATTAACTAGTGGATTTAAACTTCTAGAGACATACTGCCTTTGGATTAGCAGCATTCCTGGGGACTATGGTGACTATGCCATCAATATTTTCTGATATTTATATATTGTTGTTGATTGCTGTTGAGTTGAGCACAACTCATAGTGGCCCTGTGAACAAAAGGCCTGCAG